TGCTGATTATCCTCCCATCGCCCCAGCTCTTCTCCTCACTTGTTCAGTGGTATGCGAGAACACGTCATATCGGATGTTTCCGTTATTCAAATGTTTAGTTTCTACCGGAACGCCTCAGCTCCTCCCAGAGCAGAGGAATTGCTTGTAAAACCATGTCTGGGTTGAATAAATCACAGCAGACGTAGGACAAGAGCAGACCTGACAGGTGTTTAGTTGCAGTGCGTGTATTTATGACGCATATGTAGTCGCGAGTGGAGGGTTTCTCGTGTTGGTTTGTCTGTGCTGTAGTCATCGCTGGCCCTTGAACTGCCCTTACTCTCCCCTTCCTCTCTGGATCAATTCCTCTCCTCTCTTTAATTGGCTGTCTTGTTATTGAACATTTCTGTCTGGTCCTTTTCTTTTCCCTCTTTGTTCTCTGTCTCTGTCTCTCTCTCTCTCTCTCTCTTTGCGGTTGCTCTCTGTTTCACCTATTTTCATGTGATGAATGGGACTGGGGCTCCTGCAAGGCTGCTGGTACTGAACCAGATCAGCCTGTAGTGATTGGTTAATCCTGTGAGGAAATGTGGGTCACTAGTGTCTATTTTTAGTCATACCAGCACAGGGAAAGCCCAGGTACAGTAGTAAGAGTCCAACAAATCCCAAATTTCATTAGCATTGAGCCAGAGTGAGAGTAACATGCAGGAGGGCATAATCCTTTAAAAATGAGCACAGTAGATATTAGAAAAAAAAGTTAATCCTCACACCAATTTTGATTCATATTAAATTATTTGACCACAAATGCTTGTTAATGGGCAACTATTGAAGTAATTTTTCACATTGCTTCGTTCTTTTATTTGTTGTATGTGATAGTAAAGTTATATATCTTTTGGTTTTGGACTGTTGCTGATATTATGATGGGACATTTTCGCTTTGGACTAAATGATTAAATAAAGAAATCATGTGCCAGTTACCGTAGATGAGAAGATTGATACCACTCTCATGTCTGTCCATTAAGTATTGAGCTAGAGCCAAGATTAGTTTAACAGAGCACAAAGACTGGAAACAGGGGCAAACAGCTCATCCTATTAGCACCTCTAAAGCTCACTTACAAACACGTTACATCCTGTTTTGTTTCATACACATACACAAACTGAAGTGTAAAAATGATGAGTTAGGGTCTTATTGGAATTATATGCGGGGCTGCTTCTTGGCTGCCGGTTGCCTGGCAACCTCCCAGTGACATGACTCCAGGATGAGGAACAAGATATATATATATATATAATGTGTTAATTAGTCAATTTTAGAAGTGCCTCATTGGATTTTAACACCTGACAGTGCCAGGCTTGTTGTTTCCAGTCTTTTTATGCTAACTCTTTATGCTATAGCTTCAAATTTAGTTAGTTGTGTGTTTGATGTTAGTAGAGGTCTGAGGACATTCAAGTGTCATTTCCATTATTGATGTTTGAATTGTTTGGTCTGTAGAAAGTTAGCAGATAGAGGAAAAAGTCCATTACTATCATAGAACATCAGAAATATTCACATATGAGAAGCTGATATCGGGTGTATTTTTGCCCTTTGAGCTAAAAAAAAAAAATTATATTCATATTATCAAAATAGTTGCAGATCAACGAACCGTTGAGCAATGCTGAGCAAAAATGTTGATAGAGGTCTTAAAAGAGTCCTTAAGCGCTGTGTGATTCAGAGGTATGAAACAAGGGTGATGAGTGTAAGTATGAGAAGCAGTGATTCATGTCCCCCCTGGGGGTTCTCGAGGAACACTGTGGTCAGAGAGACACTCTTCCCTACAACTAATGCCTATTGATTTACTTTCTCACACACACACACACACACACACACACACACACACACACACACACACACACTGAGCGTGCTTGTTTTCACCGGCTAGACGGAGGTGAGACATGAGAATCTGTCAGCACTGAAGCAGGAAAGATGCACTGTACTCGACACCACATCGATCAGTTGTGCCATATTTACTCATTCAGACAAAAAAACATTTAAGATATTACTGCATGCAAAAGGGCTTCCTGCTTTCACTCTTTAGGTATGCTACTTGTATCTCCCTGGAACTGAGGCTTGTGGCCTTTTGTGGAGCGCTTGTAAAGAAAATAATGAGGTTGTGCTTACTTTTGTTCTCTGTAGGGGATAATTGCTTCATGTGAGTAAAAAGCCTGTTGCATAAGTCTCTGTGGAGAGGCTGAGGGCCTCCTCAGTCCGCCTCTCTCATTATTAATGAAGTGGCTTTCACAATCGTAATCTCCACTCATGTTGACCAGACTGACATATGTGTTTAATTTAGTTTGTTGAACCAGATATTATATATATATATATATATATATATATATATATATATATATATATATATATATATATATGGCTCACCTAAATGTCAGGTTGTGTCCCCGCAGCGATTCACTCTCCGACCTTTTGAACCCGAGTCATGCATTCCACCGTCTGCTTTACTGCTCATGAGATAGGTCAGTCGTGATGTTTGTCTCTTTCAGGAGCAGTGCAGACAGTGAGATGAGTATTTACGACCGCATTGTCATGTCAAAGGTCAGATGAGGCCGAGACAGTTTTGAGTGCTGGACCTCATCAAGGAGACTGTGGAAATTTATACCAACAAGTCAACAGTTAACACGTCGTCTCCCATGAATGATGATAGTGCTGCTTTAAATAGAAGATCATTTTGGGGCTTTTTTTTGTCATGAAATACTTTAGATTTTTTAATGGAACCGCTTTTCATCTGGATTTATGTCCAAATCTAAAGTTTGACTTTATATACATTTGCCACATATGATATGTATCCATATATTAAAATATTTATTCATGTAACTTTATGTTTATGACCAGATATCTAAAACAGTAATTACATTCCCGTTAACCTCAGCTCCACTGTGTCTTTAGTGCTTATGTGCACTTGTTAGCATTTATCTTAAAGCACCACTGTGCAAAAGTACAACCTCTTAAAGATGCTAGCATGGCTGTAGTTTTTTTAGCAAATGTTGCTCAAACAGGAGTAAATAATGCATTTGTTGGGGACTATTTTAAGCAGTAGATAAACACACCAGGATGCAGTGTGATGGCGAGGCTCATTTATATGTTTACAATGGCACAGAGGAATAAGCGATATCGGGCTCTGGCTACCTGGGCAGTATTTGTTCGTAGGATCAGTTCATTGGTCGTTTTGGTCTTTTTTTTAAGGGGATTTGTTGACAATAAGAAAAATATTGAATACCACCAGCTTTATCCTGTAATAACGGCTAAGGGATGTGGGGGGAGAAAATCCCATCCGGTATATGTGTGTATACAGTATTGATGTCTCGTATAGCAGTGAAAACTCTATTATTAGTCTATGAGTATACTCGGTAGCTTCAAAGACAACCTGAGCAATACTGCCTGGGTCCTCCTATTGTTCTGCTTTATCTCTGCTGTTTTAACCCCTGAGGCCAGTGGGATAGTCTCTGTCCCAATGCACCACCCTCCTCCTCCTCCTCCTCCTCCTCCTCCTCCTCCTCCTCCTCCCAACCCCCTCAGTCTATAGTGATCATAATGCATCTCCTCCACAATCCCCTCTCTGCTTGTGTGGGGCTAATACCGCTGAAACAACCCTTAAAATAGGTTTCATCTACAGTGGTATTTCATCTTGCCAACAGTGTCTTTGGGTGAAAGCTGTTGGTGAGTGTTCTCGGAGCTGATGGCGGTTCATTATCTGTCCTTTTTGTCCCTGGCAGGGGCAACACTCAGCCGCTCACGTTAGCAGCTTGTTATGACTGCCGTGTAAAGAGTGCTTATCTTCCTTGTTCTGACGGCTCTGTTCCGACACCGCTGACCTTCATTATCTGCGGATGCAGTCAGAACCAGACGTCAGCGTTGGTAGCCCAGTTGGCAGCTCGCTCTGTTTACTTTTTCCACTTCCTATCTTCTGTGCCTTTCTTTCTCACGTGCTTGGAAATAACCTCCCTCGCCTTTGTTGAGCTGCTGAGTGTTATAACTGCAGGAGCCGCGGCTATAGGAGCGTTTTACAGCGCAGTGAGATGCCCAACAGTATTCCAGGCACACAGCTCAGACAAAAGCTTTCTCTCCTAATATTTTCAATCCTCTGATGCCCTCTCTCGCAGTTTCCCCCTGAGCAAAGAAGCTATATTTGCCCAAACCCCACTCTATTGTTGTGGTGTTGTTATTCTGTATTTTCTAGACTTGCTGAAGTCATTGGGTTCATCTCAGTTCCTTAAATACATCCCTCACTTGTGTCTTTTCCTCTCTGCTTAACTCCCTTCCACGAGAGGAAATATACAGACCTTTCCAGTAAAATGAGACATCTTTCCTCTCAGGCATCATCTGAAGTATCATCAGTTTCTTATGACGAATCAGCAGTCTGTAGGCTAGAACATCTCTGTCGTGTCGTCTGATGTCTTGGAGTTTGGATTTGCTCAGATAATGTGATCTAATGTCTAAATAATGATAATACAAGCGTACAGCTACCGAAGTCAGCACCATTTTCTTTCTTTTGACATGAATTCTCCCCCCATCCTTAAAAAACTATATTCTGTATTTACTGTGCACAGACACATTGGAACAGTTTATAAATGAACTTTACTGCTCATAAGCCATTTTTACTCTTTGAAAGATTCTTAATTCTGTGCACCTAAATGTATTAATATATGGTATGTAAATTCATTATATGCTAATCCAGGTTATGATAAATGTCTGACAATGTGTAGAAATAATATAGGAGCCTAAATGATTTACAGAAATTATATATTTATATACACCTGAAGCATAAGGGACTTTAAAATTCACACTACTGAATGGAAATAGGGCCTATAGGCTAATAAAATGTGGCTGAAAGAATACCGACTCTCCTCCTGAATATAATATTATCCATCATACAGGGTATGAAAGGAGAAATTACATATAATGAATAGAAATTTTTTCTTTTCTCACATGTTTGGGATGTTATTATTTTACATCCTTTGTCATTTCCTTTATATTTCCAGGATGACAACTGGGGCGAGACCACCACGGCCGTCACCGGCACATCAGAGCACAGCCTCTCTCAGGAGGACATTGTTCGCATCACCAAGGACCTGGAGGACAGCGTGGGGCTCGACTGCCGCCGTTACTTCACCCTGACCTTGGCCGTGATCCTGGGCCTGCTTGTGTTCCTGACGCCGCTGGCCTTCCTGGTGCTCCCCCACCTCCTCTGGCCAGAGAAGCTGCAGAGCTGCGGCACAGCCTGCGAGGGCCTCTTCATCTCCGTGGCCTTCAAGTTGCTCATATTGCTGCTGGCAGTCTGGGCGCTCTTCTTCAGGCAGCCGCGGGCCGGCCTCCCGCGGGTCTTCGTATTCCGGGCGCTGCTCACCGTGCTGGTGCTGCTCTTCGTGGTCTCCTATTGGCTGTTCTATGGAGTCAGAATACTCGACTCACAGGTGAGGAAAGAAAGTTGGGAGAAGGGAATCCAGACGTGAAATATAATAGCTATAATTGGTTGTGTGCACACACTAAAAACTAAAAATATACACACACAGCAGAGTGTTTTCAATAGTAGTGGGAGAGGTCTCATATATTGCAGACACATTCATTTTTAATGCCTGCAGGAGCTCAACAAAATCACAAACAACCAAAACACAGATATTTGGTTTCCCCAGTGTTATGTGTTTACTGTGTGAGTCATAATTTATAATCCCTGTTGGCCCCTCATTCAGAGCGCTCGTAGGAAAGCACTCACATACACACAGAAATCGGGGGTCTAAAAAGCTCGCAATCCTTTGAAATGTATCTAAATATTCATATGTTCTACATCTTGTCTTACATGTGTATGATCTACTTTTTTTTACCCCTGCAGGAGAAGTGTTTATTTTCACATGTTTACTGCATTTGCATGTAGTGTGTGTATGTATTGTGTATATTCCATTCAGAGGTACAAATGACCCCTTCATCGTCCACAGGATGAGAACTACCAGGGCATCGTGCAGTACGCCGTGTCGCTGGTGGACGCCCTGCTCTTCATCCACTACTTGGCCATCGTCCTGCTGGAGCTCCGGCAGCTCCAGCCGTGCTTCTCTGTGTGCGTCACGCGCTCCACGGATGGCGAGATGAGGCACTACAACCTGGGACAGCTCAGGTGAGAAGCACAGAGCGACTAGCTTCATTTTATAGGTGTTTTCTTTCCTTAAATTTGATTTATGTTTGTTAAAATCTTCAGAAAACACAATGGCAGACATGTTCAATCGTCTGTGTTAATGGTCGACCCTGTTATGGATTTACTGTTCAGACAGAAATCAGCCTGTTCAGGCCGTGTTGTCAGGGGCATTGTGCTTCTGGTGTGATTGTTGAAATGGTATCCAGTAATCTGGGTTACATATCCATGAGTTGGAGGCTTATCAGACACTAGAAACAGGTTTATATTACTGAGAGACAGGATTTTACAACTCTGGAAGGTTATCACAGGAGGAATTATTTAGTCTTTCATCAGAATGATGCCTGTAGAAACACAGCATTCACAGTACATAATGTAAGGAATGTAGACTTGCAGCATATTTTACTATATTATGTCCACCCATTCATATCATTGAGGATAGAGTAAATAACACACCTGTGAGTATAATGCAGTGTGATACAACAGCAGCACAAACTACACCCTCCAAAATGATCATGATCATCATTCAACAAAAACCGAACATTATAACTTTTATGAAGGTAAGATTTATTGCTGTTGTATTAGACTGCAATCGTTTTACCGAGCTGTACCTCGCGGACATTTATAAAGGCTCAGTGCAGTTTTTATCAAACGTTACTCAAACAGGAGGAAATTGTGCATTTGTTAGGGACTACTTTCATCTGCGGATGAATCCACATTTGGTTCTCTAGTGAGTATTTACACCAGCAGGATGGTGTGTGGGACAAAGTCAAATAAAGTCAAAATAAACTACAGTGTGTGTGTGTGTGTGTGTGTGTGTGTGTGTGTGTGTGTGTGTGTGTGTGTGTGTGTGTGTGTGTGTGTGTTCACTGGAGAGGAATAAGATACATCCGATTTTTGATACACACACAACACTTTTTTGTTACTTTTGGTCTTTTTCACAGAATTTGTTGGCAGTAAGTTGAGTATAGAATAACAACAGATTTATCCTTCAATGTCTGGCGGCAGTCTGATTTTCTCTCAGCAGAGTGTTAGCTGTTTGTTCAGGCTTGCTACTGCGAAGTTACTGAGAAGATTTATGGCTTCTAAGTAAAAGCTGACACCAGGAAATAAGGTGGCCAAAAAGTGTAAAAACTTGATGTATCAGCAGGGGGGACATTCTCTGCTCTCATGCAGATCTTACATATTTTCCAGTTTCCGACAACTGTAGGGACGTTAATGGATGCTGCTGGCATTGAGAGCAAGATAGCAGCAAATACCCAGATGACCTCTGTGCGTGTAGAGCTTGAAGAGGGAGAGAGGAGGGGTAAGAGGAAGGGACAAGACAGAAGGTAAAGAGAGCTAGGTTGACGTGAGCGACCGGGGGGATACACGTGGTGTGATGACAGGGAGGGAAAAGAGAGGAAGTGTGGGCGAGATGAAGGCAAAGGGAAAGCTAGAAACTGGGACACCTTGAGTGAAAGAGGTGGGAAAAGGAAGTCACTGGCTACATACTCAGAAATAGAAGGAGGGAATTCATAAACCAAAGACTCGGGAAAAGTCAAGAAACTGAGGGACGTGCCTGAAGGAAAGGAGTGACGATCAAGTAGAAAGGGAGGGTTGAATGTTGAGCCAGAGATGGAAGAAAGCGCAGAGACGAGAAACTGCGTAGACAAAGTGGCTGATAGGGAGGGGAAATCGTGCCAGGAGAAAAAAGAGAAGGGTGGGGAAGACTTCAGAGAGGAAACTCCACAGAAAAAAGGCTGCAGACGGAGGGTGGAGTACAGAGGGAAGACCCAGGAGACTGAGGCAGGGAGAACACTACGGAGGGAGTGAAAGAGAGAATAGAGAACGAGGGATTAATAGTTAATGGGAGGGTAGTGTGGAAGAATCCTAAAATGTATGTGGGAATGAAAGAAAGGGGAGGCGTGTAGGAAAGAACAGCTCAGACTAGACCAACCAGGTTTTATGACCTTACTATCTCTGAGGAAAACAGGAAGATCCCATTTTTAGCCGAACACAGCAGCTCCCCTGCTGCTCCCTGGTATCAGTACGGAGCCTCCAGTCTCACATACACTCTTGCTTACGGGCGACTAATAAAACATGATGGATTTATGGATGGAATATTATCCTATATCTGCTCTTACATACTTTGCTTTATATCTTTCTGTAGTTTTGCAGGTGGGCTGTTTCGTGCTTTACGTGCCATGCACTCACAGTGTTTAAGAGCATGTCAGGATTCAGCACTTAAAGCCAACGTGGAAAATTCTCTGAACTGACTTTTCCAGTGATCCGAATGTCACACTAGATTAAATTAGATGCAACTTAATTGTCATTGCACACAGTAAATACCACTACAATGAAATGCAGTTTAGCGTTTAACCAGCAAAGTGCATATAGAAATACATAAAGATAAATGACTGTACAGAATGGACAATAAACCAGTGGGGTAGTGATAGTGAAAGTGGATGTAACTGTGATAATATGGACAGAACCACTGAGTTGTATAGAGTGAGATGAGTTTAGCTATGTTATATACAGTATAAAGAGCAGGAGGTATGTAATAGCAGTAACAGTGTAAAAGAAACTAAATGAAGCAGTATTGTCAATCTTTGTGTATGTTGTTTAACTGTAAAACATTTTAAATGTATTGTGGAAAAAACTCTATGTTTGATACATTGGGGTTGATGGCTGGAGTTTTAATCTTAACTTAAAAACCATAATGAAACCATTTGCACCAAACTGATCCCCTGGCATTACAGCCTGACCAATACAATGATAGTATCAGTTGATTATAAACATAAACTCATAATTTAATCTTCATATGAATCCCTTTTCATTGTGACCAACATATATACTGAGTGGGACAGTTTAATGTAAGTAATTTATTGTAAGTGTTGTAAACTAGTCAGTGCTCTCTGGTGGACAAACTCTGTAGTGGTGAAACTGTTTCTAAATTACCTTTTTAACATTTCTGTACTGTAGTGTATTGTTAATTATCAGCTGACATAGACACAGAATATATATATATATATTATATAATATATACCGAAATTAGCCCATAAATATCAGTATATATGGGCTTGATAAATTATGGCAGATGTATTAATATAACTATACCTGGCATCATTAAAAGCATTTTATACATCTCTTCCTTTAAGTAAGAAATGGAGCATATGCTGTAGGCTTGGCATGCTGTCATCAGTCATAATAACTTGACACTTCTCTGTTGATTCACTCGTCATTAATCTGTTTACTGCTTCTCCTCCCTCCACCACCCCAGCCCCCTCCTTGTGTGCTCAATTCTTGGTCTTATTGATTTTACTAAGATTTAATGTTCCTTTATGTGTTCATTAAGAGGGATTAGCTCTCCCAGCAGGATCTGAGGATACTGGATACTTAGAGAGCTCCCCAAAGGGCAGAGCCTGTTCCACCACGTCTAACTGTGTAACCATTTGCTATATAATGTCAATAGTGTGTATCACTGAAATTATATAGCACAGGAAACAGGGAAGACACATGCTAGTCCATTTTTTTTTTTGTCTACAGTAATTGACAACAAGTGTAGCGTGTGCAGGAGGTTATTTCTTATTTTCTCCCAACGCCTGTAAGTGTGCAAAGATTACTTTTCATTATTCCTGAATGGTAAGAAGTCAGTCTAAGAAGTTGTGGGAAGGCGCCTTTATGTATATATAGCACACTTCATAGACAGGGCAAACTCAACATACAAACACTAGCAGACTTGCACACACACTGAATGGCTACAGTAAGATCCTGATTACTGCTTTTAAAAGAAGTGAGTCTGTATCTGTGAAACCTTCCACGAGATAAGAAAAGCAGCTCTGTTTTCAGCTTTTTGGCGATGCATTTTTCAGATCACCCAATGGAATTATTTAGTTTGAGAAGTGGAATAATTTTCTCAGCCCAACATTTAGAAGTACTTCTTGACAAAAGGCAGTTGTACCAGATTTTGAATTATCAAGAGTACTAGTGTTAGAGGTCATCTAGCAGCTCCAGCATTGTTCTCTTTGGGATATTGTTGGCAGTGAGATATAATAAGTCATTTATAGGAATAAAATGTGTAAAAACATCCTGTAAACTTGAACTCTTAACAGGCTGGAAAGTGGATTTATTTTCATATTGATTCTGTGTTGTTAGAAACAGGTCAGACGTATGTGTGTGTGTGTGTAATTGTCTGGTTGGTGTGTTAGCTGGCTGCCTTGGGGGTGTTGTCCTTTGTAAGCTGTGCCATTCATCCCTGCTTGGCCGGCAGCAGGCCTGGCCTTGCTCTGTTGTCCGTCTGTGACTGTAAACACACAGCTAATTAGTGCTCCCTGCAGACTGGAGCGCAGCATCTGGTCAGCCTGACACACATGCATGGACACGCACAAATATGAACACGTGCGTGTGTGCATGGGTAATTGCATCATATACATGCAAATGACACATTCGTGCACATGTAGCCACAAACAAATCTCTCTTGTATCTGACCAGGCGGCGGCTTGCTGCTCACATTCCTGTGTTTCTGGCACCCATCTTTTGCCTTATCACAGCCTGGGCCCCGGGGCCCTGAAGGCTTGTCTCTGTCTGCCAGGGCCTTTGATGCCAATCGGAGGGGCCAGAGGAAGCCCTTTTTTGTCCCCTTGTCAGAGCAGACAAGCTCAATATGAATGCATTCCTTACAGCCAGAGAGAGTTGTTTCAGTGGGGTGGGGGTTGAACACATTCACAGCTGGAGACTTCCCAGTTTACATTCCCTGACTGGTCAGTCCTGAGCAGCGACATCAGAAAAGCGACGGTCAGCTACCTCACTAGCATCAGTTGTTCTTGTCGAGCCGCTTGGTTTGAATGATTTTGTGTTATGTTTGCTCGGCTTAATAATTGATCGGAGTTGGGAAGCGGCAGGAACTCTGACTCAGCACCGAACAATGGTCCTGTCTGTATCGGCTCTGAAGGCTCCGTGTCACAGAGGGCTGTCGGGGTCTTGAGTTAACAGAGGGAGTTGCTATCACAGTCCTCACTTCCCCTTTGGCGGAAATGAGCGCTGCCTCCGGTCTTCAACAGCCTATGATGTGTTTGTTTCCTACAGTGTTTTATGAGGGATGCACTCCTGCTGAAATCATCTCAGTTGCTTTACTTCTGGCAGACTTAAAGGGCCTCAGAGAAATCTGTACAATTACTCTAATTGCGAAATATCAGTTGACATTTCTTCATAATTGCATCATATTATTTCTCTGACATTCTTTCCCCCCCTGAACACAAAGCTTTCTCTTTGTATTTGTTTCCAAGACATATCCATAAATACTTCACAGGTGCTGGGCAACACGGAAAACAAGAGAACATAACCACACGCTGCTTCTTATTCCCAGTTCTTCTTCTGTTTGAAGTGACGTGACTGACAATGTTTTAACCACAATGTATCTGTTAGGTGAAAATCTGAAAGCAGCGGTACTTATGTCATCATGTCTCAGACAGATATTTATGTACTTGCTTTAAAGGACAGTATTCACTGTCGACATCTCTAAAAGCCCCTGAAACTTGGTGTCAAATCTTAAGTATTTCTCGAGAATAAATGAGTAAATATACATGATTTAAAGTTTGTGTTGTTTCTGTGTATTGTTGTGTTTTCTTTACCTTAGAATGAGCTGTTTTTATCTACAGAAGTTTCTTCGGTAAAGTAAGTTTAGTCTGTAAATCAATCTAAATATCGGTCTTGTAACTCTGTTAGCCTGTCATGATGTTACTGTCAGCTCTTGTACATGTGACTGTCACCAGATGGCAAAGCAGTGAGAATGAGTGACATTTTAATGCTGACTGGATGCCTGGGTGGTTTCAATCCATCTGTGGTATTTCATCACTTAATGTATGCTTTGTTCTGAGGAGGGAATGGAAGTCACAGGAGGTCAGAATATATCTGATCTGTGGGTCAGAGGTCATAATGCGATCCTCCTCTGGGATAATAGGAAGCGCATGCTGCATGTGTTGTTGTTCATGTATATTGAGTTAGCACTCCACGTGGTGTAAAGAATGACATGGGACAAAGTGAAGGCTCACAGAACTATGGTTACAGCCACACAAACACACACAGTGTTATGTAGGAAAGTTGTGTTGTGGGTCAGTTAACAGCTGTTAGCATCTGCTGTCCTCCTGTCAGCCAAACTGAGCTGTAACAGCTCCTAAATCCCAGTGGATGCTACATACAGTGAATTATTGCTTTTAAAGTCAGTCTGCTAGTTTAATATTTAAACCTGCATTCACTGGTTTTATTATTACTGTTAATTTGATTGAATCAGTGTCTTATTATACATCTTGTGGAGAGCAACATTAGCCGTTATATGGAGTTGTTGTAGTGTCCACCAGGTGAATGTAAGTCCTATATCCACTCTCCTTTTACTCTGTGTGGTCTATGCTATGTTCACTAGCTTGCTGCCAACTGTCTGCTGTTTGGTGCTTGGCAGGAAGTGTACAATGACTTTATCAAAGCTTTTTTTTTTTAATTAAAAACAGCTGCTTGTTGCATCTGGAAACAGCACTGATGAGAGCAGTGAGAGTGAAGCAGAACAGTAAAGGCGCAGTGGCGTGAAACCAAAACAATTAATTAAAAGACAAAAGAGTTAGATAAGCTGAGGGAAACTGCATTTGGATGATGATTCTGTGTGGGTTTGTACATAGTTGATTCATGGTTAATGTAATGATTTAATATGAAAGCTCAGCCTTCTGTAGGAGAAACTATGGTGAAACTGTGGAAAACAGAGGCAGTATATTATAAAAGAGCCGATGATTTATGTCTCATAACATGTGAAAACACCCTACTTGTGTGCAGTTGGTGTAATAGTGTTGTGTTATGTAGGACAAGACCCGGCATGCTCTCTGATCCACAGTGTAAAGGATCAGGATCTGGTCTCTAGCGGCTGCTCAGGAGCACACATCAGTCTCTGACTCTCTCCTCACCTCAAACATCACTTCCTCTGTCTTGGTTGTCTGTATGTGGCAACTATGGCAACCAACTCAGTGCAGCTCAGACAGCAAAATACTGCGAGGAGACCAATCTTTTCTGTCATAAACCTACATCTGATTTGTATTTTATTTCTTAAATCTTTAACTAATATTTAACACAATGTCTTTTTTTTACTATAACTTTAATGTTTGGGTTATTTCAGTCTGTGTTGGTTTATATTCGTCATACACATGAAACTCAGTCACATTAGAAGGGCAAAGAAAGGATATACTGAATGCTGATTTGCTGTTAACAATCAGAATTAAATCTGAATTGAATTAATGAAGCTTCCAGGGAATTGTTGATTATGTTGCTCTCAGTCTCACTCTTCTATTTCCTTCCTGTTCCCTATGCAGTGAGTCTTTTTATATGGAAGTAATGTTTCTGTACCTGTTTCTTTCTCTATTTAATAGATCATCTTCTGGCTGTGTGAAAAATGTCCTTATGTGTTAATTCTGTGTTCAGTTTGGTTTTGGTTTCATAGCGTTGAGGGAGTTTCCCACTAAGGCTTTAATTGAAGTATTACTGTTAGATCTTTTAGTTCTCTCTTCCTCTGTCAGCGTCAGTATCTGTCCCTCCCCCACTCTCTTTTTACAGTTTCTCTCTTACGATATTCATTTTGAGTTGATATGCGGGGGCCATTTGAAAATATTTCCCTTGTCCCCAACTCCCAACACCTTCTCCCTACTAGTATCCCTACTACCACACTTGGATTATAGCGAGCGAAGGGGCTTATACTCCTTTCTGTTTCTTCCCTCTGCTGTTTTCTTTACTTTTCCTCTGTATTCAGCAAGAGGAGTTGTAGAATCACTGCAGGGTTTTCCAAGTTTTTGGGTATTACAGGTGAAAACCTTCCTGTGGCTAATGTTTCTCATGTTCTTCGCTCCATTTTACCAGCTCAGCCTCTCACAGAGCTACCTGGATTTTACCTGAAACGTTTCCCTCGGCTAAAGCTTATCTTCTTATTCTCCTCCCTCTCCAGCATTCAGCGGGCAGCTCTGGCCATCTTAGAGCACTACTACTGTGACTTCCCAGTCCATAACCCGGCGCTGCTTTCCGCCTCCAAGTCCCGCGCAGCCAAACACCTGGCCGGCCTCAAGGTCTACAACGTGGATGGTGAGTTCCCAGCAGGCCCCGCTGAGGGTGAGTGGGATGGTCTTTGAACTTTATGTTGTCAGTGTTTTGGTTTCTTTGTGTGTTCTGGTGTGCTGAAGGTCTGCTTTTAATTCCTATTGCTCATTCTGTCATGGCATACTATGATTTTAACTCTGTATATTCATTGTAACACAGAGGATGTCATTTTTCAATAATGTGTTACTTGATGTATTTTAAGTGTAAAGTATTTTCATTATCAAGTAATCTGCCGAGTATTTTCTCAATTAAGTGTTTGGTTGTATTGTCTATAAAATGTCTAAAAGATAGTGAAGAATGGGCATTATCATTTCGCAGAGCCCAAGTTGATGCATTCAAATTTCTTGTTTTATTAGACCAATAGAACAAAACCAACAGATTTATAAAAATAAGTTAATTTAAGAAGCTGGAATCAGTCATTTTTTGGCATTTTAGTTTCAAAAAAATGCACAAAAGATGAATTGATTATGAAAATAATTGGCTCTACATTTTTTGTTAATCATCTCACCAGCTAATTGAATGATTGTTTTACCTCTAGGTGATTGAATTGTTGTCTCATAAAAGACAATATTGGTGGGTTTGCATGTTATAGTACAGTATCTACACAGATCATACAGTTAACATCACAGGGGACCCTTTTCTAAATAATATGATATAAAGGGATTAACCATCTGAAGAACAGTTCAAGTCTCTGCAAGTTGATTTCCATACAGTACTGGAATGTGCTGAAGCAAATGGCTGCCTGGAAGGAAGGAAATCGATCTGCAAACGTATCCTAATTGGAAAATTGTCGACAGCAATATAAAGCGTAGCTGATTTGTAGTTAATGGGCTACAACAAGTGTGGGTTATTTGATATATGCCTCAGTGCTCCCTCTGGTAGGCTGTGAGCAGGTGGGAATGAGATTTGAGCAGCTTCTCAGCTTAAATGTTGACTTTCTCCTCTCCTTATGTGTCTCTTTACACTGACGCTAACCTTTTAAGACGCCTTTAGAGCTAAACTGAAAGCCTACCTTTTGGACAGTAAGTAAAGGCAACGCTGCTACTAACTAACGCACCCTCACAGACTGCTGCCGTTCACGCTGTAAAAGCTATCTCTAAATCTCCCTCGAAGCTAGCTAACACTCACTCTTCCCCACTCCTCACACTTTGCATGCCACAGGTTGATGAAGAAGTTCAGTTGACCTTACAACAGCTGGCTGAATGTAACACAAACCCTCTATTAAATTACCGCTCTCCCTTAAGTGTACTCAAGCTTCACTCAAGTGCACTAACTTGACTCCCTCTTTGCTTTTTTTGTGTTTCGCTGCTTCCATTTGTCTCCCTCTTTTCTTCTGCCTGCTCTCTCTCAACTGTGGGAGACAGTTGTGGAGATGGCTGATAAATCAATAGCTATTACGCTGCAGGTCTTGTCATTTCTCTCTTGTGTCTCATCCTCCTTCATTTTCATCCTGCGGCAGCTGCTCAGGGACCTTTCCGTCTCTCTGTCTCTGTTGTCTGGAGCTTTTACTTCCCGCTCCTTCTCTCTTCCTGCGGCCGCACCGACGTTGTATTAAACAAGTCGAACTCAGGGACAGACAATAATATTTCCTTGATTAAAGAGTGGTGAAGCCCTGAGCGCAAAGCAGCCATAACACTCAATTATACGGCATCCAAATGGGTTCAGGTGATTTTATGATGCCTGATAAGCTATTTGGTTTCCATATTGGTTTCTCAGCTCCAGATATTGGGAATTAGAAATGAATCCCAGTGGATAAAATGTGTTTTCTGTAAAGAAATCCTCCAACATATAGGAGATTCAAAATGCCTAAATTAAAAACAAATCAAACAAAGGCAGAAAAGCAGGGAGTAAATTATGCACACGACACAAAAAAAATACTTATTCTATGTGCACAGATGACCTTCATCAGGTTAAAATGTATTTAATAGGAAATTAATGATGAAATGTCATATTATTATCTCCTAATTAGCCTAAATAAGTCATCTGTTAGGACATTTTCAGTAATTAAAGACTGATAATACTGGATTTATCAAAGTTTCAGGACACTCTACATATTTATTTTGTGGCATAGACTTTGTTTTGATGTACTTTTATTTGAGAACAGATTTTGGCTACTCTGATTGCATCGCTTTATTTGTTTGATTTCTTTTTATTTAGGCTGTTTAATTCTTTCATACAAAATTCTACGTTTACTTACTCCTGACATCCAACATGGCTTTCAGTATAGCATTCCCAGCCACAAATCCCATTTAAGTGCAATAATACGGGTGTGTTGAAAACTCCCTATTCTCCGTCCATGAATTATTCTGTTCATGCTCGATCCCTGCCCTGCATTAATAATTCACCAGCTCTGCCTTCTTTTAACCTGCATTAACATCAGGCAGGGTTCATCAGCCGCCTCATAGCCTAATTCCAAAAATGTAAACTTTTGAAGTCGCCCGAGACAGTTTAATTGGACTCCCCGTGCCTCCTGAAGGCACCGAGTTGCAGAGTAAAGGGAATGTTTGAATACCAATAGCTGTATGTGGATGAGCGGTGTGTTTTCCAATGATCACAGTGCTCGGAACAATTAAAAATTACGACTTTGTGTGGCTTACCACGTCAGCTCCTGGGGTTACTGTTGCTGGTGATAAAAGGAAATGGACCGAGGTTTATGTGCATTAATAATCTTCCCCTCCACTCTAAAAGCACGTTGCACTTTATGTCGTCACCAAAGATTTCTGTGTTCCTTTACCTTCGTTTCTCAGGCTGCGACCAGCTCACTTTACCTGTGAGATTAAGCAAGACACGCACACATACAGTAACCATTCCTGTCTTTATGTATTTGTCGTGATAGGTCCAGGGAACAACGCGGCAGCAGGACTGGCCCACTCCCAGTCCAGAGCCATGATCGCAGCTGCGGCCCGCCGCAGAGACACCAGCCACAACGAGCTGTACTACGAGGAGGCCGAGCACGAGAGGCGTGTTCGCAAACGCAAAGCACGGTAATTTATGCAATAACACCTCGTTTTAAGCATCTACGGTGTCTAACATTGCAGTGTTTTCTGGTTTGACTGGACTGGGACCATTAAGCATTAACCCATAATTATTGTAGCCCCTCATCGCTCAACAAACCAGCAACACAGACAAAGACCAGAGTCCCACTTACACCATCTCTGAGTGAAACAGTATGTGAATTACTAGTCACATACTAAAGCAAACTGATTACTTAAAGCAGCACAGTTTCCAGTAGCTGTATATTAATCAGTATTTTTAGAATAGATCACATGACTACATGTATGTGAAAGGTGTCACTCATATTGATGAACCCACAAGGAATTATCACCAGACTCTGCCGTTCCCCTCGTTTTAGCATCTTTCAGCTCCTTGTTTTGATGTAAGGGCCTTTACTGTCTTGGTTCACTATCACCGCTCTCATAATGTCCTTTACTGACACAGAAGGCCGCTGTTTGCAATCAAAAAAGCACTAAAAACCCACTGTGTGCTACCTGCTCAGCACCGAACAGCAGACAGACAAAGATAGCAACTAGCTGGTAAACATGGTGGAGAGACAGATATTATAAGATATATAAGAGTTTGAATATTAGGTTGCCACAGTCACGACTCCTAATGAATGTTAGTCAACTAATGAGTTCACCATATCAACTTAAAGGTGATAATATGTCAGTGTTGTGTTTACAACCTGTCTTTGCTGTCCCCAAAGTGGCCAAAAAATCTGTTATTACAAGTTTTAGTAAGTATATCTCAGCAAAGTGAACTCTCCTAGGTGATTCTAGTGCATGGAGGGTTGCTATGGTAATTTGGGCACAAAATCAACAGGAGGATGGGAGAAACAGGAGCCAAATGAAGGAAATCAGACAGGATGTTGTATGTCAAATGTCTGGTTATTCTTGGTTGGGCTACAGTGGCAGAACTAAGAAGAATGTCCCACTAAAAGTATCAGAAACAACTGTATCAGTCTATAATTAAACACTAAGCTTTGTTTGCTGTGTTTTTACCCCCCTAGACTGGTGGTGGCAGTAGAGGAGGCGTTCACACATATCAAGCGCATGCAGGAGGAGGAGCAGAAGAAAGCTCCAGGCGATGTGATGGACCCGCGAGAGGCAGCGCAGGCCATCTTCCCGTCCATGGCTCGCGCCCTGCAGAAGTACCTGAGGACCACCAAGCAGCAGCACTGCCACAGCATGGAGAGCATCCAGCAGCACCTGGCCTTCTGCATCACCAACAACATGACGCCCAAGGTCAGAACGCAGACGTTTGCCTTTAGGGTTTTTTGAGGGGTTTGGTTGTTCATTTGAGTAAAATTGTAAGATTCAGTACTACTACTACTACTAATAATAATGTATATATTCCTCCCGCCCAGGCGTTCCTGGAGAGCTACCTGACCCCGGGTCCCACCCTGCAGTACAGCCGGGACCACTGGCTGGCCCGTCAGTGGACGCTGAGCAGCGAGGCGTCGGTCACCAGCGGCCTGAAGGATGGCACCGTCTTCCTGCTCAAGTGTGTGGACTTCAGCCTGGTGGTGACGACAAAGAAGATCCCGTACATCCAGATGTCAGAGGAATACATCGACCCCAAGTCACACAAGTTTGTCCTGCGACTACAGTCCGAAACCTCCGTGTAGGACTCCAAACTTTCTTTTTTTTTTTTTATTCCTCACCCTGTTTCGTTGCTCTCAAATGTTTTCATTTTGGGTTTGCAGTTTTTATTTGTACTTCTTTTGGAATTTTTATATATTATATATGAATCTATATATTACACACATGTTTGAATATTCTGATCTTTTTATGTTTGATTTGGATGAAAACAAAACAAAAGAACTGAGGCAGGATTACACTCGCGGCTGTTTGACTCAGACGCCTCGGACACGGTTGTGTGCACATACAGTATGTGTGAGTGTGTGTGTGTGTGTGTGTGTGGTGTGTGTGTGTGTGTGTGTGTGTGTGTGTGTGTGTGTGTGTGTGTGTATGCACGTGTGTCATTCTGTGTCAACACAATCACTCGTTCCTTTTCTGTTGAAGATGCTGGAGCCAAACGAGTTTTTGCCATCCCCACAGAGACTTTGTTGTCTCAGTCACTCCTTTATTTCCATGGGACAGACAGACAGACAGACAGACAGACAGACAGACAGACAGACAGACACAAACCACTAAGGACGGCGATGGTGTGACTTGGATTTGAAGCCTGATGGAAACAAATGACAGACATCCTGCCTGTCTGTCTAGCAAGTATTTGGATGCTCTTGTGGATGTCAACAGATTGAGAATTAAATGGATTTCTTTGTCTTGAAAACCAAATTAAATGCATTTGACAAAAAAAAAGAAGAAACTAAATCAATCAGACTTTGCATTAAATGCACATTTATACATGTTTATAAATTAAAAGAATATGCCTAAAAAGGATGGAACATATGACCTCAGCCTGAAAGGATGTCGGACTGTTTTCTTCATCACTACTTCAGGACGTCTGTAGAGCTCCGGACGGTTTGAGAAGTCCAGCCCGCCTCGGGTCCATCCTGAGGCGTTCAGGAGCGCCCGCGAATGCTAATCCTAGCAGCCAAAGTGGGACGCTTGGAGCTGTTTTGGTGCACAGTTCATCTCCAGGTGCAATGGAGCAAAATCAGAAATATTTCCACTCCAGTTGGGAACAACACACACATGCCATGTTAAACTCCGAATGAACCGGATCATAAGAGACGCTGAGAGGTGGATACATGCCCAAAAACATTTGCCCTGCCTCATCGGTTCAGTAACCTTCTCAGGGCTTTCATGTCCACCGCATCTGCCTGATGGAAAGGGAAGGCAGCGAGGAGGAAAGACGGAGCCGCAATGTCAGAAAATAAAAAAGTACTACTGATTACTTTAAACCAGAATCCTCTTCTTTGGGTTGCATAAATGCTGTAAATTCTCATATAAAAGCTCATAATCAAATAAGCCTGGCCAGCATGGACAAACAGAAGCCAGGTAAGAGGAAAACATACACAGAGGAGGGTGGAATTACTCGCTGTGTGAGTTCAGTATAATGTTCATTTCCACACCTTCATAACAAACACAGAGTCATGGTGCATTCACTGCTCTGCTGCTCTGTTGACACTTTTAACAAAAAATAAAGTTTTCATACTCAAATGAATTCTCTCTCTTTGATGTTAACCTACAAAACCTCCTGTTTTTCACATTAAAAGCTGCCGATAAAGAGAAAGCTGCAACAAAGTCTGTTGAAAATCTAAATTTTAATATTTGGTTATGTGATATTAACTGTAGCTGCTACCAGGTGGAAAAGACTTTTAATGTGAAAATTCTGGAGGTTTCATTCATAGCAGCTTGACATCGTTTTGGCAGAAAGGCAACAGTGCTGATAAAATGTGTGCTGTGGACAAACGGTTCTTCATATCTGTAAATAAAGGCCGCTATGTGAGAATTTACGGCATTTAAAGTGTGATTTCAGGCCTCACGGGGTTTGCTTGCATCATAATGGATGATAATGTGAGTGTGTATCAGCAGTGAGAGCTGCAGCAGGGCGGAACCTCGTTCCCAACTGGACCGTCTGGTTTTCTTTTTACTACCTTGTCTCGCCTCTGTTGTCTGACAAACACGCTCACAGTGAATCCCTCGAGGTCAGCCACTTCACTGGAAGGCTCAGAAGGGATTCTTCTAATTATGTCTTTTCACCTGATGAATCAGCCTCGTCCTGTGAAGCCAGAAAACTACAGTTAGATTAAGCTAATGGCACTAAAATGACACTTTTAGATCAGCGCTCACATTTTGACTACTCTGTCCGATCCAGGTTGATTCACCAAAGGAGTGAAGGAGAATCTCACTGAGCTCATTTCTAACTCACTCAAGAAGGAAAATGTGTCATTGTAATATCATCTTCTGTGGGTGTGAGCATGGTTGTCCCCTGCTGCCCCCTGGCTGGTGAATCTAATATTAACAGTTTGTCCAGCTGAGGGCTGCAGCGACATGTTTTCATATAAACCATAAAGACACTGTTTGACTGTAAACTTGTAACTTGTTAAAATCACCTGCAAAGAACTTAAAAAAAAACAACACTTTTTTGCTGTTTCCTGCGTGATGCAATAACGGCAAATACCTTTTTTTTTAAAGAAACACCGGTCATATTTTGTACCTACTGACAGACGAACTTTGTATGATCCCAATGTGACTGTGCCTCCTGTTTTTACACTGTATCTATTTATGTAAACAAGCATGTGTGTATGTGTGTACGTATGTATGTATGCCATTCCAGTTCACATGACCAGCCTTTACCCCCCCTCCACATCACCGCCATCTGTCACACTGTTGCCAGGTTACAGTCCTCTGTCATGGTTTGGTTTTTCGTTGGACAGCTTTATGATGAAGACGTGACATTGCAATGTAAGACATGTTACAGTTTCACAGCATTAGCATTTGTTTAAAAAAAATAAAATAAACATTTTTATGAACATTTGTAAAGCTGCTGTAAATGGATTGTGAGTTAAAATCTTTTTTAGTGGGAACACTTGTCCTGTTTATCGTGAATGTGGAAGAAGTGAATTAGTGTTTTGCTGAAGCAGTAATGGGACGACCTCCATGTCTATAAGCCAAATGTGTGATCGCTTCAGCTGCTTGATATTCTGTTGAGTTTGATGTTTTGTTACTGCTCTTCTTCTTTAACCTCAGTTTACCTACATTTCCCAGAATGCCTCTCAGTCCTCAAAGGTTTTCACTTTGAGTCGAAGGTGGTTGCTTTTAGCTGGCAAACCTATTTGAATGTGCTCAAAATGTTTTATTGCTGCAATGCTTTCTGGTCTTTTGAGGCTTCTGTGATGTTTCTCTGCTGATTCAGGCACCTAAACCTCACATTTTAAACCCAAACCCCTCAATTTAACTTTTAAATATATAATGAATGCAGCAATATGAAGGTGTTTCTAATGGTTTGTATGCTCACTTTGTAATTGTTTGATTAACTGCATGGGGTTCAAAACTCCTTAGAATTGACCAAAAAACATGAAAACTATCCCTTAATTTATACAGCCCTTAATTTTTCAATTAAGTGACAATTCAGAGACGTTCTTTGGTCAATTTTATGGAGTTTTTAGTCCTTTAAGTGGTTTTGACCCTTTAAAACCCACAAAACCCTGCATATACATCAAACATACCATGACATGTTACAATCTCTATTAATTGATCCATTAATTATCTCCATGTTTGGGGGAACCCCTGAATGTGCACTTGAACTAAAAAATGAAGGTCCTTTTGGTACAAATGAAGGGGTACATGTAACAATTTAATAACTGAGGGTGGTTTTAACCTTTAATACCCTTTAAAACGTGCAGATAATCCATTAAAAACACCTTAATATATAGTAACCAAATGGATTCCAGGTGTAACTACCTGTTATTTAATGAGATAGTGAATAAAATAAATTCTAATTCTTGGCTTCTGTAGTTTGAAGGTTGAATAAAAAATAAAAATTTGCCTCAGAAAAATTTATTAATTCTACCGAAGAACTGCAGAAGCAAAGAACAACAGTGGATACTTTTATTTTACCCCAATATCTGAAGGTTATGAGTTAATTATCCTGTTATTTATTGATAACAGAGTTGTAACAGGATTATTATTTCGTCATCTCTGGAAAACAACAGGTTGTTTTTTGAGATAATGCATTATAAAAAACACTTTATGTGGAGAAAACGACCTCTTGTTTTTTTACCAAAATGACCCTGTTATCATGAGAAAATTGCACTTTTATTCCAGATAAGGAGACAAAGTTATCTCGAGATGACAATTAATGTGAACTGTAGAAAACAATGATCTTTGATGATTTACATTTCTTCCATTTTCCTGCATTGTAATTGCTCCGCTGCAATTTCAAGTGTTCTTTTATCACCTCTCCCCCAAACGTTCTCCTCAGTATCTCCACAGGTTCTAGCTTTCTGCCCCCGGCTGCATGCTTGCCAACACTCTCCTCTGTCGCTGCCCATTAAACACGTGTGTGACATGCTGCAGCAAAAAATCTGCTTTTTTTTCTTTCTTTTTTTTTGCCTTATTTTGGTGGCTTTAGTTGTCATGAAGCTCAATGGTAATTGGCTTGCCATCAGCCTGTCAGAGTGCCGCAGTCGGGCTTCGTGGGTAAATGAATGTCAGTGTCAGTGTCCAGTGCTGAAAACAAACAACCTCATCCCACCCCGAAGCTCGGGGCGCGAGGCCGCCTGTCGGAACTCATCTGTCCTCGGCTTAATTCCCCTCCCGTACCCGCCTGCTCTGTGCTGGACCGGGACGAGCAGGAGAGAGGTGGATGGGGAGGAAAATGAGGAGCATTTGCATCTAAATGGAATGTTTTTCTTCCCTTCATTCCTCCCTCTCTATTTGTCCGGTAATGACTTGGTTATGTGCAGATCGAGGCATGAGAGGAAATCCTTCTATCTTCTAGTGGCTTCGGGTTTTTGAACAGAAATCTGAACTTTAATACATCTTACTCCTGTCTTTTCTTTGTTCTTTGCTGTTTTCTATTGAACCTGTTCACACCCACTATGTTGCTGTCATCCTTCCTCTCTTGGGAGTGAGGAGGTGTGGGTGTGCGTGTGTGTGTGTGAGACATCAGTCCTCCTGGCCTGCTTTTAGTCCATGTTCATGTAAAACACCATCACACTTGACATTCGCAGGAATATGTAGCCTAAAGACCCTGCAGAACATCACAACCCTTGCATCATGACACTGTCTGCGTCTCTGTCCTCAGGAGGGAGGTTGAAATGTCTTTTTGCCTCAGGTCAAGTTTAAAAGCACACACACACACACACACACACACACACACACACACAGTTGAATGTTCTTGTCTCTCAAGTATGGCATAGATTGTGTTTAAATCTCACAGGATGATGCAGACATCCTGTTTGCACACTGCATCACCTCCACCTCCAGGGGAATAATGATTCTTGCATGGCCCTGTATTATTAATTCATGTCCAGCGGTATGGGTTCGGCAGGAGCGTGTCCTCGCCTCATGCAGTTTGTTGGGCCCCAGTGGGCATCGTTTTTGCCTCCCGACCTTCCCCAGCCATCACCGTCCAGGTCCCTTCTCCCATTTGGAGACATAACAATGCTGAATTATTCACTGATGTTTGAATAATTCAAGGTGAAAACGCTCATTGACTGCTGGAGAAAGTGTGCCAATCTCCTGTCTTGAGCATCAAACTGGACCTTCTTAATGAGGGAGAGAACTGAAGTGTGTGTTACAAACAGTAGTAAAGAGACGTGCACGGAGTCGTTGTGGACTTTTATTAATGCTTTTACATCATGAAAATCTTCTCCAAAAAAGTGCTTTTAATACTTTAGTCTAAGTATAGTCTATTAACATTTAATATACAGAACTATTTATTAAAAGAATTCAACACTATTCTACTTAAAAGAACAAAGATATTTATCATTTGTTTTCACACATATAAACACACAAACTAACCTCAGAACTAAATCTGTAAATCTTAAAGCTGCTATAATCAATATTTATATACTAACATACTGTATGTAATGTGTTAGGTGTCACTCATAGTGACAAACTCACAAATAATTATCACCAGACTCTGCAGGTTCCCGTCACCTTTACGTAACATTTTAGCGTCTTTCAGCTCATTGTTTTGTTTTTTTACAACCTGCAGCTTTAATATTTTGAGTCCCCCTCACAGCACTCATCTGCATCGTTTCCACACATTTCAGGTGGTTGTTTTCAGTGCAAAGCTAAAAAAAAAAAACCCACTGTACAGTACCTGCTCTGCACCAAACAGCAGGTACAGTTAGCAGCCAGCTGGTGAGCGGAGTAAAGCATTTAGCAACTAAAGAGAGAGATATTTTTTCATCCAGGGCTAAAACAAGTGAATATTGGACTTAAATTCACTCTCAAATTCATCATTTGGCCTGAAACACAACTCCTAATGAACGCTAATGTTCGTGCTCAGTGTCTGCTGGATGTGTAAATAGGAAACTGTTTGCCAGCATGTTAGCCTTAGCAACTTAAAAGATGATAATGTGTCAGGTTTGTGTTTACAAAATCTATTAATGGAGCTTTAATTTACATGTGTATGTGACACAGAGTCTGTATGCTGATATTCTTGGTGAGCACTGGAGGATTACTACTGCAGGCACTGTGCTAACTTTATTATAATCTGGGCCAAGAATTTCCCATGATGACTTTTAATCAGTTCTGTTTTATCTGCCAATTTTTAATCATTTAAACCAGAGAGTCTAGAATTTAGATTTTTTTTTTTTTTTTTTGGCCAGACCATTTTCTTTTAATTGTACTTCTTTTTAATCATTTGAAGAAAAAAAGATGTTCACACGTTTCAGTAATCTGGTTCTAATGTGCCGAGCGAGTTCAGAACTGCCAGGACACCAACCCTTAACCCCTTCAGGTTAGTCTTCGCTGTCATCTTCCTCATCTGGGTCCTGACCTTCGGAGCTGTCCTCTGTGGCGTAGCTGTCGGGCTCCTGGTCGTCAGCAGACTCATCATCGTCCTCTGTGTTCACCCTTCCAGACAGGACGTCCTCTATCCAGTCCTCCAGCTCCTCGGCGGTGGGCAGGTCCTCGTCGTTGGACATGTCCAGCCACACGCTGTCCGCCTGGATCACAGGGCACCAAGACAGTCAAGGCTCACTGGTAACGGCCAATAAACAGCTTCCTTTGGTGCGGCGTAAGACTGTAACTATTACTTACATCTGTGACGTTGACCACACCAATCTGAGGTCGAAACAGGTCCAACTTGAAGGTTTTTTCCCAGTAGGTGGTCAGCTGGGGGGGGAGAGACAAACCAGGTCAACTTTTACATATGTATACAATCTTGTAAAGATATTGTTTCTCAAACCCATTTTGAGAAAGATTTCTGATGCTCTTTTCAGAGATACTAAGCTAAAGGTGAGGCAGAACCAGAGGGAAGTCATCAGGGTCGATCCAGACGATGCTGAGCTCTGGGTTGTTGGTGTTGTCTCTGGCTACGTCTTTCAGGATCTCCAGGAACTCATAGCCATCTGGGGACAACAGGAAACTGAGCTCAAGTTCTGGTGCTAAAGACAATAACAAAGGTAAACAACAGCAAAACCAAAAGGGAAAAAGCACAGACCCGGATCTTCCTCCTCAGCAAACGCGACAATATGTATTCCATCCATGTCGTCCTCCTAGAAATGTCAAAGTTTACAGCACAAGTTATAAATGTTGGAGGAGAATGATCCTGATGTTGCACCTCAAATAGGCTTAAGACAACAGAAAAGACGGAACAATAACTCACCCATGTTTCAAACATATTCTCTGCCCGGAGCTTCCTCAAGGTAGCCCTGTAAAGAGCACATTTTCATAAGATTCCCAACCAGGTTTTAAGCGTTAAATTAACCCTTAAACGATTTAAATCTACTCAACCTTCTGTGTTGGTTCACAAACTCGACAATGTCCATCTCCGACAGAGGTCTACCGGGCAGGATGGCCGGCTC